GATAAAAGGGGGTGAGTTAGCGATATGGTAAATAATAATAATAATAATAATAATAATAATAATAATAATAATAATGGTAATAATAATAATAACAATAATAATGATAATAATAATAAAGGTAATAATAATAATAACAACAATAATAATGATAATAAAGGTAATAATATTATTATTATTATTATTATTATTAATAATAATAATAATAATAATAATAATAATAATGTAAATTGTCTTGCTTCTGGTATGAGCAGGAATAGTATCGTCAATAGAATTCATGCCCTGGTACGGCCGAGAGTGGGGAGAGTCTACTCTCCCTCTCGAAATGCTCTCACATGTCTAGCGAATATATAGTCTCTGCCAGGGAAGTTCTACTCACTCCCTTCTCGTGGCGGGGGTGTTGTTTACGAAAGTGAGAGGACGAAAAGCGAATGTCCGGCGCTTTAACCGGGTTGGTGGACACGGAGGGTCCACCTAGGGGAGTTGGAAAACCCTGATTCCAAACCAATGGTGCACATGGGCTCCAGTATCCTGATGGAACGAATGGCGGACGAATCTTTCATTGGTCAACGGCTACCATGGGACTGCATCTCCTCACGATGCTCCACTGCCTTGTGGATCAGACCTTTTGGTCAAAGGCTCCGGGTGTGGCTCCCTAAGAAAACCACCTGCTTTGGTTTGGGCACCCGGGCAGTATCACAGCCCACACACAAACATCATAGAATACTGATTATTTTTCAAATATTTTATAAACGATAAATTGAAATTAATCGAATAATGAACGTTGAACACTCACAATTGATTGATCACTGAGTGGTGATCAATGTCATGAGTGTCAAGTCCTTCTTAGTGCTGATCGAATGCTATCGATCAAGTTGCAATGTGGCCACTAGTCTAGGTGGATCGACACTGCGTGCACTATGTTGAGATAAGATGGTGGTTGGAGGTGGTCAATAGGAAACCCTGGACCCGCGTTTCGTGCTACTTGGCACTCGTCAGCAAGGTGTACCTGTAATATTGAGAGAACTGGTGCTCCCTGACGGATTCGATCTCGTGTCACTCAGCTTCACAGTCAGAGACGTTATCATTGAGCTACTCGGACCGCGAACGACCTCCTGTAGGACTAAGGTGTAATCACAATTGATTGATCACTGGGTGGTGACTAATGTCATGCGTGTCAAGTCCTTCTTAGTGCTGATAGAATGCTATCGATTGTAATTTATTTTAATACAAGAGAACGCGATTCCACATAACAATTTCTTATATCCTACTGTCGTATATGCCATGATTTTCGAATATATATAGTCTAGTATACATACATATTGAGCATACTCAGTATAAAAGAATAGGTTTGATAGGTTATTATAATTATATCTTGAACAAATATAGCTTGCTTCTTTCAGTCAGTCAGTCAGCAACAACGTAGGACCAGGCATAAATATACATCGGTCCAAGTTGCCATACCTCGTTAGCACAACAAGATGAACACCGGATTCATAGAAGTAATTAATTTAGTGGTGGTAGTATATAAAGAAAGGTTGTATATAAGGATGTAGTATAGGAAGGAAGAACGTTATGAAGCAATTTTAATCTCAAGGTTTAAGGGAAGATAAAGAGTGTATACACCTACGCCATTGTGATCGATTCTGAGCCATGTCACACACCGTCTCCAACCATTGGTTACGATAGCCACGCGTACCCCAACTAGGTAGTCTGCATCTACCAACATGGCTTAGACTAGAAGTTAGTAACTTCAAGCACTGATGCCATGTTTTGGTTTGGCCGCCCCTAACTCTCTTCCAACCATCCTCTACACTAGTCAGCATTGCGCGTCGTAGTAATCAGTGTTCAGGCATACGTAACACGTGGCCCAACCATCTCAGTCGATGAAGATTCATCACCACATCAACTGATTTACCATAGTTCCCTAATACCCTGTGTCTAACCTCACTATTACTTACCCGGTGATCCCAGCAGATGCGAGCAATATTTCTAAGACATCTGTGGTCAAATACTAGTAACCTACGAGTATCTTCTACTCTTAATGACCATGTTTTTCACAGCCGTAAAGTAGAACAGAGCGAACTGCTGTGCAGTATACTCGTCCCTTAATTGATAGACGTTTTTTTATGGAGGAAATAAAACAAAGTTACAGCAGGATCACCAGTAGCTTCTATTCTGAACCATATCTGATAACGTCTCTAGCAACTATGTTGCACCATCTCTAGGACTCAAACCAAGGAGTCGTGAAGAACCAACAGAAGCCAGCCCTTTGCAGCTTTCTTTCATACCACGACATTATGTAATACACTGACTACCTCTCCGCTTTTTCCAACCAGTCCCAGAGTCGGCAAATAATGCACGACGAGGAATTCTCTGGGACGACATTCGTAGAACATGTCCACGAATTTGTTCATTGGTATGTGAATGAAGGTATGGAAGTAAATTCGGTGAAGCACAAGAAGATATAGCTACTTTGGTTTCAGTTTGGAAAGGACAGGAGGCTTGAAGGCCTGTGTTGGTCCTGACAATGATGGTCTCTTAGTTGATCCAAATTTCTTTTGAAAGAAACGACCGATGGAGCCTCAAGCACGTGCTGAGGTAATGAATTCCACTCGTTGATGATTCGATGGGAAAGTCGATGGTCAGCTGACAAGTAATTTGTCCTGGGTTTGTGGACATTTTTGGAGCGTCCTCGCAAATTTTCTGTTTTGGAAGACAAGAAACATGAGGGCATATCTGGTGCAGATTTATCACTAAGTAATTTGAAAACTGTAATCAATTAGCCTCTAGTTCTTCGATATGGCGAAGTGAATAGGTTTAGCTTGGCCAGTCGAGCATCATACGGGAGCTTCGCTATTCCGGTAATCAGATTGGTTGCTATCCTCTGAACCTTTTCCAAAAGCTCACTGTCTTTTTAAGCAGGGGTTAGCCGCTTAAATGCAGTACTCAAGTTTAGGACGCACAGACACTTTATACAAAGTCAAAAGGGTCTTAGCGTCGACATGACTAAAAGCCCCACATATTGACCATAAAGTTCGAAAACCTTTGGTGGCTATTGCACGGCAGTGTGCAGTAGTCATTAATTCTTGTCTAACGTAGACTTCCAAGTCATTGTGTATCTGGACAACAGATAGGTAGGTGTTATTCATCGTGTATGTATCTGTACCTGGATGACCGATATGCATACTTTAGAAAAAGTTGATAAATAAACTTATTAGAAGTGAAAACGGATTTCGACTGTTACTTTTACAGGAGCCTCACTTACTATTGAGAACAAATCAATTACAACCAGTTAGGGATATTCAGACGAAATGACCATACCTTTTGTTAAAAAATATGTAGATAATTATTTGAAATACATTGTTCATTTTAATTATACTCTTTCAAGGGGTCAATACGTTAATAAATGGATAATATGTGTACGGCTCATCACTTTCGTGCTTTACCGCTACACAAGTCTAGAAGATTGTATAAAGTAATGGTAGTCTACGGGATACCCAAAACGCTTATATTCGTACATAAACCAAAAAACTAAAAGGAGAGGCAACATTGCATGATGTTGGTACTGTGATGTATCCTAATTATGTTGATAGATACGAATAATATATAACACCAATAAGTGAAGTGCCTGAGAGCAGAAGTCGAGATAACAAGAGGGATGAAGGAACAATGAAGTTCGTAAGAAAAAAAGTGCAAAGATGTGCAAATTATGTATCTAATGTATGGTTTCCATATCTTACTAAACTACTGTGTGACCTCACATTGAACAAGAAAATGGTTCGCCCACCTGAGTTCTTCACTTACGACAGTACTACATCATTAGTAGGAGACGACTACGAAAAACACCAACTGTTCTCTAATCACCTTTAAGAATACATATACCGTAGAGGCCCCCTTCCATCCGGTTCATATAAACCCCACATCCGTACTCTAAACATAGTGACCATGAAGAAACTCAATATATTTGGTAGTTAAATAAGCTTGCATAGGTTAATTCATTGGACCTGATTGGATACAGCCTAGATTCTCAAAAAAACAGATTTCTATCGCGAATCTCCCAAATATGTTTCCATCTACCTATAACCTAAGGCAGATTAGCAAAGAACTGGAAGAATCCCAAATTAAGTCGTCTTCAAAACAAGTACGAGACAAACCTGCGAAATATATATCTGTAAGCCTAACCAGCGTGGCTGTTAAGATTTCAGGGGTTATTCGGAAGTAACAAGAGATTTCCCAGTTCGGAATGAAACCCAGGTTGTCGAACTGGGAGACTTTACTAAGTGGAGGGCCCTGGGATACAGTTTTCGAATGTATTATTCCTCCTGTGTGAATGACCTATTATCGTTTTTATTGTACGCTGACGGTAACAAGACATGGACAGAGACAAAAAATGGAAATGGTAGATTAGAGCCTCAAAATGACCTGCGGTTATCTCAATAGTCTAAAATTTGTCGATAAAGGCTTCCAAGTGCACCATGATGCATATTAGTCATCAAGATACGGATACATACATGGTGAATAACATTGAGCTACCTGTCATTCAGACACAATGACCTAAGGGTCACCGTTGGCCAAAACTTGAAAACTACCTTGCTATGCGATAGCTGCCTAGTTTCAGAATCCTCTGGTAATAATGTGGAGCCCCCAGCCATGTCGATGCTAAGATCTTTTCGACTTTGCAGTGTTCATTCGACCTAAACCCGGGTACGGGATACAAGCAGCCTGTCCGTATAAATAAGATAGTGAACAGATGGAAAAGATGCAGAGGACTGCAAAAATACTGTATGACGATGCTAGCTAAACTAAACCAATTTCCATCGTCATACAGAAGGAACAGAGGTGACTTGACCTCATATTTTAGATTAAGTAATGATAAATTTGAGAATTCCATGTCAAAATCCTTTTTGTTACTTAAAACAGGATTTATGAGGACATTTTAAAAAAGTCCACGAGCCCATAACAAATTACTTGTCAAGAGCTTACCAACTTTTCCATCGAGTCATCAACATATGGAACTCATTGACCCAACACGCAATTAAAGTTTTATCTTTTGACGCATTGAATAGATTAATCAACTGAAATCAATGCCATGTCGACTAAAACAGGCCACCCACTATTTTATTCTTACGACTGAAACTACGCAATATGACTGAGCAATCTGCTTCGTCAAGACAACTGTGAGCGTAAAGCGTGCCTAACAGTCTGAAAAAGCCTCGCTAACCTTAACAGCAGTTGGGATCTAACCAATATCTTACAATGCTTAATCCATCAGTCTTCTGACAAAAACCTTATGTTCGCCATCGACAAGCATATCTTAACTAGTTTGTTCAACGTCACTACTTTTATTTATTCAAAAAGAGGATGATATAACCAACATTTTATTAGTGGCAAATTATTTAAGGGGAATAAACCTGGAACTGTGAGTAGCACCAACACCGGGTCTGCCGTGTTTGACAGGTTTATAGGTTATTGAAAATTCTCCGAGGTAGTGACCAAGCATTTCAGGCCTGATCTCAACTGTGTTAAATGATTTTCCGTTGTAAACACCAACAACTGATCCGATCATCTCGGGAAGAATGATCATATCTCTTATATGCGTTTTGACAACCTGAAGACAATATATTTAATAGGTACTTACAGCCGGCTTCTCGCCCACAGGACATTCCTTCTTACTTTTTCTAAGCTTCTTTAGGAGTGTCATATGTTTTGTACGAAATTTCCTGTTAATTCTTCTGCGTATCCGGGCAGGCATCAGCTGGGCTATTTGATCCCTAATAGAATTTTCAGTTAGGTTAATAAACTACTCACAAGTTCATATCTAGAAGTTGGTCTAAATCAACCCCTCGATAGAAGAACTTCTTGAAGGGTCTACGTTTCTTGACGGTTTCTTCAGCCTACGTGTGCTAGAATTATAAGAACCTGCAACTCACCATTACGGAACTAAGAACGTGATTTTCTAACTTTGCCGCTTCCGACAAAAAAGTGAGTTGAAGATGTCAAGGCTATCTAATAGTGAAAATCTAATTCCAACCGATACAACCTCTAACATTTTAAAGAAAAGCAGGCGTGAAGTTTCTTATCTTGAAACTAAATATTGGGTAGTTGAACACTTTGTGATTACTTCCTGAGCTTGTATAGTTTGTGGAGTCAGGCACGACAAATTTATTTTATAGATAGTTTTTGATATTATTTACATTTATTTTGTTAATTTTCACAGTTTTTGCATTTACCACAAATGTTTGTACATATTGTTTGGGTGTATCTGCTATATTTCAACCAGTAAAAACAGTCCTTTCATTCCCCAAACCAGTCGACGACGTACATTTCAACAGGTGAACGAACTTTCACACCCTGTCATCAGGGCCACAACCCAACTTATTACTGGACGCTTTTTATGGCCCAAAATTAACTTGGATATAAGACGATGGACACGAAGCTGCACACAGTATCAACACATCAAGGATCAAAGACACACAGTCCAATTGAAAAATTTCTATTTCCTGATAAACGACTTCACCATATTCATTTAGACATAGTTGATCCGCTGTCACCATCATACACCTTCACACATATTCTTACCGCGGTGGAGAGGTTTACATGATGGGTGATAGCATGCATGCCTTATCACAGATACATCCGCAGAGACAGTCACAGCCGTATTCCTTGATCGATGAATATCAAACTACGGAGTACCCTCAATAGTTACTACAGACCATGGTCCCCAGTTTCCATCCGTACTATTCCAGGAATTTACTTAACTTCTGTATGTCAACCACACCAAAACAACAGCTTATCCCCCAATAGCTAATTGTCTGGTCGAAACATTTCACGGCCAGTTGAAAAGCTCTTTGATGGAACAAGCTGTTACATCGAAGTGGAGTGGGGCACTACCACTTCTACTCCTAGGAATTTGTTCAACCATGAAGGAAAACATAAGTCACACATCTGCAGAACTAGTTTGCAGTACAACCCTAACACTACCAGGACGACTAGTAGACCCAGAAAAGACGAAATCAACTGACCCACATCGTTTTTGTGGGTCGTCTACTGCAAACAATGCAAAATATCGAAGCAATACCGTCGCGCAAACATGATCGCGCACAACTTGATAAGTGCCTGGAAACATGTAAATTTGTCTTTGTTCCATTCGCTGCCGTTAAGAAGCCATTGAAACAAACTTACGAAGGGCCGTATCAAGTAATTAGACAACTAAACAAACACTCCATGATCAACAAGTACGGAAAGAAGGAAACTATCCCTATAGATAGAATAAAACCAGCCTTCTATGAAGCTCAGTAGAACAAAAGGGATAGCACTATAGATAAACTCCTCCCACTAATCACTACGAGATCAGAAGAGGATGAAAAACCGACCATTAAGCCTACTTGTTTAACGAGCCCAGGCAGAACCATAAAGAAACTTGGGCGTTGTGTCCATTTTGCTGAGTAATAAATCCAAAGAAATGATTAATGATATATATTGCATTGCTCAGTTTAGTCAACTTTCCAATAAATACTACTATATATTTCTTTTCACACGTGTATATAATTAGTTACATTTTCCCACAATTACTTGTTTTGTGACACATTTAAAAAAAATAAATCGTCACAGTAATAGCCGAGTGAATTATAGATAATTATTTATTAGTTGTACATAAAAATAGACAGTCTAGTCTGTATTTTGTGAATTTATCAACAGTTTTGCAAACTGAGACATTGATTGACTGTATTTTCATTCTCTTTGTTGTGCTATGCTACATCCATGTCACTCTGTAGAGTAACATATCGTATATTATTAGTGTGCATATCATATCCCGCAGTTTTCATGCATCTTAAAAAAATTTGTCGCATGTTATGACATGTTTATCTTCACGTTTCTCTCACTATTATTATAATCATTGTTTTCCATGCATGCATGTACTGTACTCATGCTTTTTTGTAACAACCCAGTGGTACCTCCGGACACTGTGGGGGGCTATATGGAGACAGGTACGACAAACTTATATTCTAGATAGTTTTTGATATTATTTACATTTATTTCGTTAGCTATCAAAAATTGTACATCTACCACAAAGTGATTGTACATGTTTAAGTGTATGACCCTGAAATCACTTTCTTCCGTTGTATAACAGTCATAGCATGACACACACCGTTAAATACTAGTAAATACATTACTGTACACACACCTCAAGTTCTCAATCACTTACGGTTATAATAACTGAACTCTAAATCACCTACTACCTACATTTATAGACTGCAGCTACATTTACATTATATTCTAGGTCTAACAGTACTACTGGAACCATAACAACCTCACGGAAGCCATTAATTATCTATAATTGTGGATTTTGGCACCAAACGCAACACGAATACGCAAAACATGCTGTTACGTTTTTGACCTAGACTGTAGCCAATTGTTATGACTTGATCAAGGTCGTCGCTGATTCGTTATGACCTTACAAATTTAACAATGACGTAGTTCGCGTAAATTATCCCACCAATAGAATACGCCTTCTACGACCTTCACACTGTGACAATGACGTTCGATTAGTATGCGTAATCTAGCGTCCTTATTGGTCCTTATCCGCCTAACCCGTCCACTTGAGTCAAAAACACCAATAGCAGCCTCGGCAATACGAATCGTTTATTTCAAGCATACTTTGTTTAGATATCAGACAGACAGGCCACATCATACCATAAAATAGAAAATAATATTTGTACAAAACCAAGCCAAATGAGGCTGTAAGCGTGGGAGACAATAATCAACAAACTGAGTATAACTTAGGAACAGTAAATCATACAATAATAATCAATAGGTCAAAATGAAGCTTACAATAAAATGAATATATATATAGATAATCTAGTTACCGAATAGTTATACAATAAGAATGATAGTCCAATAGTAGGTCCTGCAAATTACCCGTACTTATGTCTTCGCTACTACATAACACATGCCAATTTTAGTAACATCCACTAACTTTTAATTATGTTTATAACTTATAATTGATATATTGTAACATTAACATTTGGACGTAATGACTTTATTGCTACTTTTGAGTTGATATACATTTTGGTTCACTACAAGTTCACTGTCATCAGGTAGTGAGGTTAACCAAATTAATTTATTACAATAATCGTGGTTGTAGTTTGGTATATATTTTGAGAAATAGTCAGCTTGTCCCACTTGAACGAAGCCACTGTTATAAGCTGTCGTAGCTTCACTGGATGGCTGTTTGTCGGGTCATGAAATGAAAAGCATAGGGAATAGCAGAAACAGTACACAAATAAAAGATAAAATAATGGTCTCGACAACTCGATTTATTCGTCGATTCAGCGCAATTGTAGTAGAAGTTCAAATGAATCCCCCAAAAATAGTTCCCCAATTCCTTGACATTGGTGCTAACCTCATTAGTTTCACTGGACCCAAATTGAATCACACTCTCTTTAACATATCGACTAATTTCCAGATATATCTTTGGACCCCTTCCTTTCGGAATTCTGGTTTGACTGAGTTTGAGATCTTTCGATTGTAAAGGTGCTAGGGACTAAAACGTCAAACCCTGAATATCCGTGACGGTTCCAGGTAGTCCATGCATAACTCCCTAACTGCCCAACATTCCCTCTGAAATGTCCAAACCTGAGACAACCCCAGCTGAAAAAGTCATTTTCAAAAACACGTGTTCAAAATACTAAATAACATTGTCACATGTAATTTTTATTATGACTAGTGATTGCTTGTAACAGCTTAGTTCGATTAGTTAAGAGTTGACCTCAAACAACTAAGTATATATCAAAGCAATAGATCTCAATTGTTCATTTATTTCCTTATTTCGTGTAGGCATTATATTTCTTGTTATCTTATATTTAATGTTTAAAGGTTTTGTGTGTTTGAACAGGTAACAGCCCGCTCCACTGTAACTGTCCCACGATCCAAATAAAGACCTATTCACTACTAATCTGGTGTCTTCTATCAACAGGACGAGGGTTACCTACAGGCACGAAATGCTCACGATACCTTGTGGTTAGGACCACTTTGTAGAACGCGATCAGTTTGACGCGCTGGTGAAGCTAGCAGAGAATAACTTTGATTCGCAATGCTTCTGTTCGTTCGACTTGTTGCTTAATCCGAGAATTCCTTTCAGTTCATCCCTCGTCAATTTCGCTGTGAGATCCATATAACCTTCCGGAGAGGAGAATCAACAACATGGAGAAATTTAAGATAGATTTGCATGGACATTTCGAAGGACAAAACTAGAGGTAGAATACTTATCTGTCTCAAAGCGATATGAGGCATTATTTAGGTTTCCATTATATCTTTTTTGAATATTTACTGCTGCTATTAACAGTTCATTCTGAAATACACCTCAAGTCGTCACGTATTAAAGTTCCAGAGGGGCGATGACCAAGGGCAAAGAAAGAAGACATTACGCCAAGGAAGTTTAAAAGAGGTGCTTTTCATGCTGACGACTTACATTTTTATTTTATTAGCATGGAGTCTTCAGCATCAGGATGATACATGGTAAGACATTGCCCTTACAGTGTGAACATACTAACACATCGATCACAAAAATCTTACCTGTAGACTGACATGTCTCATGTAACAGACTGTCATTTGAGAATAATTCATTACTATTACCCATTCAGCACAGCAGGATATAAGTTTGTAGCAGCCAAAGTTATGTTTTTAAAAGGAAGTTGATAATCTCGTGTCATAACTAAAGCATTTTGGAAGGATTGCAGTATATTTCATCATTTTATGCAGGCATTTTCCTTCCCACTTTCAACTTCTGAATGATGAAGTGCATGTGTTTAAAATGGTTGTACCTCGCGGGCCATTTGGATACCATATTGTGTGACGAAAGGTGTGTCCAACTCTTAAAGGTTTCCAATTTTAATGACTTAACAGGTAGGCAAATTTCAATCAATGACTGCACGCTATGGACTGGCTTATGCGGCATTTGTCAATCTGTTTCATCTATCTATTCTTACAGATACATTTTAAAAATAACATCGTGTTTGTTCCATACGATCACCAAAGTAGTCTCAGTCACTGGATAATACGAAAAGGTCTTGACTGCAAGATGTGAGTTCGGCGTAAGCAAGGAGGTC